CAGCCAGTGACATTTAAGAAGAACAGGGAAGACCCGTTTTATAGCAACTATAACCATTGGGTAATTTAAAAGAAAGCAAATACAGTTTAACTGAAATAATTTTTTGGGGTATTATATGTAAGCAAAGTATGTTTTTAAATTCTGTTTAGGAAATGTATACATATATTTATGTATGTGTGTATTTAAGAATATATGTGGCTGCTGCTCAAAGCGTCGTAGACTGGAAATAATTGAAAGCAGAGGTGCTTCGGCACAAACTCACTTCTCCACCAGAGACTAACAGTCTAATTGTATCACCTCACACTTATTCTGGACAGGAAAGCACTTTCCTGCTATTTTACTTTTGTTACAATGGTAGTGAGAGGTCAAGGGCTTTTTGACATTCCATTTGAAACAGTTGCCTTAAGACTTTAGAGGACTAAGGGTTGTCTTTATCTCTGATCGTTGGACACTGTCTCTTCCTTTTGAAGAGCTAGAAAGCTAGCTACATGGTCTTTTGAAATAAATGGATGTGTTTTATGCTGTTACTTCAGTGTTTTATGTCACAAAGGGAGCCTGCTCCTTTATGTCTGTAGATATTTTAAAATGTCTGTCCTCCCTAATATTTTAATAAATGTCTTAATCCTATTAGTGAGGCAGCCTGTTTAAAGCTGGGACATTTGACATCATCTGTATCAGAATTTTGCCAGAAAATAAAGCTGGGGCCCAGATAACAAGCCAGACTTGTAGATGAAATAATTTTGCCTTTTGGAAGGAAATTATTGATTTATATTAGAGGGGTTTATATATATTTTTTATCTATTATATACATATGTTTTAGAGAATTAAGAATGAACAAAATGGCATTCACATTTTATATCACTTGCTGTATCCAGAATTGTTGCTGTATACAGTCAGAGCACCAGAAACACAACCACTGCAGTTACAATCCATTCTGCAACTTATTAATTTAATTCAGTAAATAACATCTGTTTATTCTTGGTGAGGCCAAAAAAGATCCAAATTAAAATAGTAATAATAATCTCAAATATGCAGCCGTTTTTTTTTTTTTTTTGGTTGCAATCATCATCAGTTTTTTAATTTTTAACTCTGATACCAATAGATGATACTAAGACTCCCCATTACCTGACTGGAGGGAGATGCTATGTGTATGTTTTAGTTTATCAACTACTTCCCAGTACACATTAGATGAAGGATCATGAGGCATATGTCCCTGCAGTAGATAAAGAATAGATCAGGTTTAGAAAAATGTTTTTTAAAGAAAAAATACTGTTTTATTTCCCGGGGCTGAAGAGGCATCAAGCTGCTGAGGCATTTTGACTCAGTTTAAATGTATTAACTATAGCAATAATCCAATACCTGTTTTTTAAGTGCTGAAAGAGGCTGATCTTTGCCACAGATATAAAGACTTGCATTTCTTTAATAAATAATGGCTTGGCGTTGTGAATTTTACCACAAAAAACATAATAGACTAAGTTGCCAACCAACATCATCTTGTGAAGTCTTTTAAAAAAGAATGCTTTTCAACATTATTAGATTTTGCCTCATTGATAAACTGCATCACCCAACAAAATTCAGCAATTTATATGTTAATATTTGTTTTTCTAATAGTCCAGAAAGTGCAATGCACAGTTTATAAACACGTGGTCTAAGATGGAATTATTGCTTATGATTACAGCGAAACACATTACCACTAATGGAAAATTTACTAGCCCATTTGTCTGAGGCCAACTTTTTGTGCATTCCTTAATAACCACAATTTAAACACACGCTAATAGCCCCTCCAATTCCCATAAAAAGACCATGGACTTGTTTTCTCTTTTCTTCTGCATTCATAAGCCCATTACTTGTTGTTTTAGCTTTCCTTTTCCCAGGTAGAAAGATCTCTGTCATAGACAACACCCCCCTCCCGGCTGAATACCACAACAGTGAAGTAAACCTACTGCATTTTATGTTAAGGTGCATCTCAGGGGACACCTTTGCTTCCCTTCCCTTTACACCTCTAACCAGACGTAAATAAAATATCATCATAAAATTCTCTGACTCAACAAAAGTTCCTTAATCTCCCAGCATGGCTTTAGGGAGGTCTAGAGGGGACGGAGTTTGTTTTTCATGTGTAAATCGGTGGACACAAGATTTTATGAAAAGCTAGTGTTTGGCTTTCTCCTACTTTGTAAAGCGATAAAAGGAAAATGGGAGGGAAAAAACACCCAGACAGGCAGACGATGAGGTAGAAAAAAGGGCTGAAAGAGATAACCAGAACAATCCTTAAGGACACAAGCAGTGAAAAAAGACAGCAGCCTCACTCATCCATTGAAGAAAGGAAGAGGTGTAAAGGGAGAGTGAAGGAGGTCAGAGAAAGAGAGCGCAGGTGATGGTATTATGCTGCTTGTGTCATAGCCAGATAAAGGCTCCTTTGCCGCCTGGCTGTCATCTGCATTGCATACAATATCCCTTTTATTCACAGTATCACCCCTTTCTATTTTGCTTCATCTGCCACCCTGGTGGAGCAACTCCCAATGTGCTTCACTTTTTCTCTTTCCATCACACCGCTGCCAGCAATACTGCATACATCATTCCCTATCATCCTCTGTTCTATTCCTTTTTATGCTCTAAAGAAAACTGTATCTCGCACACGCTGCTGTCCTTTTTTACACACACAAAAATCAAGTATTCCTGTTCTTTTTCTCTGCTCATTCTTCTGTGCTTTTGTGCTGCCTCCTTCATCTGAAGCAGATATTAGAATATCTGTATTTAAGCCACACGCTGCTTCTATTTTTTTTTTATTTGGCAAATAAAGCAAATCACTGTGATTTTACGCTTAGTCCTATGTTTAATATCGTTGTCACTCCCTTTTCTTATTTTACATTTTGATGATTTTAATAAAGTGAATTTCAAATCAATTCTAAATATTTAAATTCAGGTGGTATCAGGGACATTGTGTCACACAACCTTACAGCAAGTTTTAGCTTTAAAAGTTGAGTTACTTTACATTTTTCATAAGAAAATCCCTAATCCAACGGAGCTACTATTTCTCTGAGTGCTGAGCCCAAAGGGAGCAAATCAATTCTCCATTATATTCAGCTGTCATTTAGCCTGATATGGTGGCCACTATCAAGGGACAGGTTGACCCAAGCTAATGTTTGGTCTGCAGAGTAGAAAAAACTTTAAATCTCTTGAAATCATTTAAATGGTTTGAACAACAAGGTAGAGATGAAGATGGACTATTCCTGCCACTGTATGTCTCTGAACCCTCTCAAGATGTGCCTAAATGCATATAAAAATATTTAAGGCAAGCACAGGATACAGGAAAAGATCTTCAATAAACTGAGTCCTGCTTTATCTGAAAAAAAAATTTGTTATTAAGGGATTTACAACATAAAATTAGACTTAGACTTAGACTTCTTTATTTGTCATTTTGTATGCACAGGGTGCATACAGAACGAAATTGCGTTACATACAGCTTATGAACGTTGCATTGATATTTCAAATGGCTCAAGTTATAGAAAAATACAAAAAGTGCAGCAGTGGTCAAAGTGTGAACAGTGCAGAGGATAAGAGACAGTGTGCAAGTTGCAGTGGATTCAGTGCAAATAGGCATTTGTGCAAAAAATGTGTTATTGAAAATAGAATGAGATGAACAATTAAAGGGCTAAAAGTTAAAAGTTCAGCAGCATTTGATGCCCGATAATGTGTATCATATGAGCATGTTGAAAGCATACAATAGAGCTAACATAGAAGAGTGTTATGATTCTGGGCTACCTGTCTTAGTGTTCTCTCACACTCCACCTGCACCCCTGCAATAAGGATCATGAGTGAGCTGTGAGCCTTCTTTGCCTACTTTCCTGAACCCAGTTGTCATTTCAATGGATTTTTCTGTCGCACCTTGCCTACACCTGACACCTCATTGGCTGCCGTTTTCTGTAAATCAACCAAGTTTCTACCCCACGACTTGCACCTCTTGCCTAGCAGTCTGATTTTCTGCCTGATCTGCCTCCCTTGGCTGCCCCTTACTTCTCCAATGGATCCTCCTCTAATCTAAGTGAGTCAGCCCAGTGCTAAGATTAAAGCTGCTGGTTTCGGCCTTGACACAACCTACTGTGACGTCATCATCCTCTTGACTGTTGTTTTCTGCATCAATTCAGAGCCCAGTGAACTACTTATTATAACCTTTGCCACCAACTGGACTCTGAAAAGGTCAGTGGTGTTATTTCTGAGTTTTCTGTCCTCCATCGAATCCTCAGCAGCCACTAACCTATTTTCCTCTCTTTGTATTGTTCCTGAGGGTTCTGCTGGCAGTTTTCTGTTTCCCACTGGAGTGTTTATTACAATTAAAGGTTTACGAAGTACTGTACTACTCGCTAAAAGATTCGTTCATCTGTCTGTTTCCCCCTAAAATAGGCCTTTGAGGAATAGATAGTGTGGTATATTGAACTTATGGGCTCTCCGTAGTTTTCCTATCTTCTATGTGATATGCGCCGGCCTAGATAGATGCGTCAGAACACCAGCCACAATTGGCATGTTGTAATAATGTTTATCGAGTACAGGCATTTAAAAGTGGTTAAATGCATGCAAAGCGTCTCGTCATTAATACACCAAAGATAGTAAAACCTATATGCAAAAATAAGTAAGAAAATAGCCTGATATCTTGATGCTGTAATGACTTTGTAATGTTTTATACATCTTTTAAAAATTATCTCTGTCTTAAAAGGTTTTTTTCTAAAATTTCGCTTTGCCATTTTTATATCAATCAAATTTCTTAAAACTGTAAAAAAAATACTCAACTGGACAGTAACATATAAAATAACATGTATTATAAATGTTGTGCTGAATGGTTTCTCAGAGTTCAGAAATAAATGGCATATAACACCAATAGCCAATATTTTTTATTAACATTTTCCAGTTCAATTCCAGCATTTAGTCTTACTTAATCAGCAAAACAGTGACTTAGATTTTTACATAAAATATACCCTATGCATGCATATGTGGCTGTTTGACGGAGTCATAGATTTGACAGATTTTTCTTTGTGGAATAGCAATTAAAGTCAGCGCCTTTGAAACGGGGGATTAGGGTTCAAATCATGGTGGTGTCAGGAAGGGCATTCAGCTCTGCCATGTGTGCGTGCAAGTTGCTCTGACCTGCAGTGGCGACCCTGCAAAAAAGAGTTTAATTTTAATCTGCATGTTATGAGCTAAATTCCCATAACAACATGGAAGAACTAAAAAGACAAAAAATTGCTCATTTAACACAGATTAGGTGAGGTTTTTTTGTATATTTACCATATGAAGTCCTATCCCATTAAAGAGTTCATTATTTTCCACCATTTCATGTTTTTAAAATTACTTTCATGTTTAATTTAATTTCCTTTTTGTGTTTCTCACAAAAGTGTACAATACATGCACTTGTATGCATTCAAGCTAAAGCCACTTAACCATGAAGAGACAGGGCGCAGTTCATTGCTCACCTTGGCTGCCTGGATCAATGGCGGCGTGCCTTCTCCAAATCTCTCCTACAAACATACCTGAATAAACAGACACAGAGCATTTACACAGGCACTGATAATCCGCTAATCCTTATAACCTGCTTTTGAATCAACAAACACTCACCTGCACTCAGGAGTGAAATGCACACTGATACTGTTTACATATAGAGACACATTTAGGGACTTCACACCTACACACTAGTGTTCGAATGCACACAGACACATACAAATGACTTTTCCCTATTATCCTCTGTGACCTCCTCTGAGGGGTATGGTTGATAGTCCCATAGAGGTTGATAACAGACAGAAGGGTTAATAGGGATTAATGGACTGCACACACACACACACACACACATTTATGCAGACACACATTTATGCAGACGCACACACACACACACACACACACACACGTATGAAAGAATTCCCACTCTGATGAATCTACAGTCTTTTATACATCTTTGAAGTGAGTGTATGTAAAGTGTGTGTGAGGATGAGTTTGTGCAGTTTATTATTCGACAGAACTTATCATGTAACTGTCTGCTGTGCGGCTTTCCACTGCTTGATGAGATAATTGAAGCATGAAAAATCCGTATAGAGGATGTCAAACTCTTAATGGGCCGAACAGCATGGACACTATGAGCACAGCACTCCGTGTCATAAAGATTAGAAAGATTGTATCACTAGAAAGACGATTGCCTCATTTTTAAACTTTTATCAGTTTTCCAATTTAATGACCTGTTTAGGGATAATAAGACTAGCTAACTGTCTGTCTCAGCGTATTTAGTTTTTAACATTTTGCCATTTAATTATTCCTCCATGAATAAGCTTTTCAACAGCTCATAAGTACTTTAATGCATGATTTATTAAGGCAAATCCAGGATGGCAATTATCTTTAATTCGAAATTATCAAGCATGCACCATGTTATCTTAAAACCTTGAAATGGAATCCTGCAAAATAAGAGAGCTTTGTGCATTAGCAGAAAACCCTTTTTTACTCTTAAACATGGCATATTTGTCATCAAGGCTTCTCATCAAAGGATTAAAAAATATAATTCATTAAAGGTGCAATGTGCAAGTTTAAATGTTAAGTAATATTTCTTTTCCTATTCATGCCCTTACAATTGCCCTACATGTACAGTATACTGTAGTTACCTTTCCTCTATTAGTTGCCTCACAGACAAGAGAGATTGATTGAGGTTGTAGGTGTTGGTGGGTAGTAACTGAATAACAGTTTTATTGTACGTTAACTGTCACTTTTACTTGATTAATATTCTTATGAAGTTTTACCTGCTTGAGTACCATTTCTGGCTAGTCTGCCCACTGTAACATTTTCGTTACGAGCTAGCCTCAGGTGAATGTACATTGAATAGGGTACCATTTTAGGAAATATTTTTTAATTCTTACTTGTCATTTATTGAATGACTACAATATTTCGGTCGTCTACCAACCTCTGGGTGTCATACACTGCATGCCTGGTTAACCCTCCACTCTCCTCCATGCATAAAAACAAAAAATGACACAAATGGAGGGGTCATCACACATTGAAATATGGCAACAAAGCTAAATGGGCATGAATTTCTTATAACCAAAGAAGTCTTTTTATATTTTCTCTTTGTTTCATGTTTTGGAAACCTGACTGATGTAGCACTTTTCATTTTTGTACAAAAAACTGTGTTTTATTGTACACTCTCTGCATTTATGTCCCCTCCCAAACACCCTCTGTTTTTAAATGGTACCAAATAAGGGAAACATTCTGAAAAAGCAATAAAGTATAAAGTTGATAATATTGACCTAACTGATCCCTGTTATGTTGCAATTAACGACAATAGAATAATGCAAACCTAAAATGTTTGACTTTACAAATTACAGGAGCATTTAACAAGTACGTTTAAAATAATGAACAGATCATCAAGAATTTCCAATGTATGTTGACTTTACAGATACAATGGCCTCAAACGTGAAAGTAAAGAAAAAATAAAAGAAAAAAACACCTGGGGCTTTAAGCTCTAAGTCTCCCAGATAAACATCTTTTGTCCTCATCCTACTTCTTCCTTCCACAGACTTTACGACTTGTTACAAAGCAGCATTTGCTCCCAGGGTCAACGATAGCAGGTGTTAAATCACAGTATCACAGAGGACACCTTGTATGGCATCTCCCAGATTCTGCCAGCTGTGACAAAATGGCACAATTTGATGCTCTTAGAATGAGAGGTTGGCTTGACAAAAGCTAAAGGGCTTACATGCACATTCACTTGGCAGGCAGTCTACACATGGAAGAGCACACACCGCAGCAGATGCACTGTGAAAGAAAGTGATGGTGACACCAAACACCAACAGCAGATCATGCTTACTTTGTTCTTCTTTTTGCAGCTGCTTTTAACATGTCAATTTTTTAGCCAACTTATTTAATGAACTGACCCTAACTTTATTTGTTAGGATTTTGGTAAAATTAACTTGAACTGTTTTATCCTTCAACATTTTTCTGTCTCTCTAACAATGTACGTCCTCTCAATTTCTCCTCCCCTCCTTCTCCAGGTGCGATGGACAAAGACAGCAGGCAGTGCTTCAGACAAGTTTCAAGAAACATCCATTTACAACGAGACACTGCGAATCGACAACATCCAGCGGGTGCAGGGGGGCCGCTACTACTGCAAGGCCGACAATGGGGTGGGGGTGGCTGCCATCAAGTCCATCCGCGTAGATGTGCAGTGTAAGTGGGCAGGGAGAAAAGAGGAAAAGAGGACCTTCCTTCCACTTTTAGACCACAGCAGACTCACTGCAGCTATTCCCACATTAGAGAAGGCCATGACATGGAAAGATAGTAGCAGGAAAGATGAAAGAATGATTGGATGGATGATAAGATTACAGGTGGGAATGGTTTCCAAGAGTATCTGATAAATTACGGTAGTAGGATAAAAAACATGCTGGAAGGATTAAGGTTGGGAAGGCTGGGTAGTAAAATTTAGCTGAATCAGAAAATGCTGTGAAACAATAATATTCTACATAATAAAAACTGTATTTTTTATTTTTTTTTAAATATTACTTTATGTTGTCTTTTAAATTATAGTAAGCCGTTATAAATTTTCTCTTTTATTGGAAACACTACACTTTCTATTTCAAAACAAAATTTAAATTTATCCAATTTGCTTTTGTTACTTTAAAAATAAAGCTAAAAGAAATAGGCTGTAAAAAACACAAAAACAAAAACATTTTCTTTCTTTTTTTAAAAAACTAAAATATTTACAGAATGGAAGATGCTTAAAGACCTAGTACTCATATGAAAATATAAATATAGAATTATAGTTTTATAGTTGAATAACTAGTATTTCTGAAAACTACTTGAAAACTTCTTGAAAACTATGAATATTAAAATAGAAAACCATATTTGTCAGATACTCTTGGGAAAAAGTGAAGCCTGTGGGACCTAAAGTGATTTTTTTACAGTTAGTCCAGGTGGCACGGGCTCCCTAACACAATGTTTCTTGTTTAATTTATGTCAAATAAAGATTCTCAGTAGTAAGGGGATAACCATTTGTTGTATCCATGGCTTGGAGCCAGACTAAGAGTCAGACCTTATCACAGCCAAATTTAAAATGCAAATCTGAAATCAAACGACTGACTACTTCCACTTTTCAACCCCTCTCTGACCCATTGTTTAATTCTATCACCTCTCTTGGCTCTGAGACAAAACAATTCCAAATCGTATTGCAAATCCCTGTTTTCAGAACAATAGGAAATAACTAGAGAGTAACCTCCTAGTAAAAGTTTTTACTTGAAAGTTTAAAATGAAACTACTGAGATTTAGAACCCCCTGTCACGATGCACATGGCTGTTTTTAAGCTCAATAAGTCAAGGATCATCATCATCGCTGCGCTGTCCTTTAATGAAAAAGAAACTCACCTTCGTATAACCTTTTCTGTTATAGCTCTTTAGCAACAAATCCTATTAATTTTGCATTACCTAGCATTTGACAGCTAAAAAGCAGCATTGTGTTATAGGGGTCCTGTGCTGCTGCTTGTTTCACTGCCCCACTGTCCCAGTGAGTCATGGGTCAGGTCATGATCAAATGTTGTTCAACACAGTACTTCACTCATCCACATTATTCCTTTTTTTAAACCCTAAGTTCGTTACATATTAATCTGTTTTTATTTTCTCCCTTTACCAATTAAATCACATTAACACTGGATTTATAGACTTATAGAAAAATGTTTTACTGAGGGTGTTGCAAAATGTAACACCAACTATGCACTTTTTGCATGAAAGCATTTTCATGGCTTTGAGTAAAATAGAATGCTGTTTCCTAAAGCAGCTAACCATTCCAAGCATGCACCACAGGAATCGCACACACACACATACACATACACATACATGTTTGTGCCAGGCTTGTCCCTTTGAGATTCATCATTTAGCCTTGACCCTGCCTCAGCCTCTTAACAAGGCTCTCCCTCCCTTATTACTCCAACCCTCCTTTCTGCTGGTAATGTTAGTCCTCTCCAGGAGTTGGCTCTGTCCTTGCTGGGGATCTGGTAATTGCAGGGGGCACGGGTAGTAAACAGGTTGCACTGTGAGTGTAGTTGTGACAGGAGCTTTGTAAATCTTACCAGCTCTGACGGTCAATGCTTGTTCAAACCCCTGCCCCCCCGATGCATAGACCCCGTGGTAATCATCCAGGCTCGCTTCACTGAGCATCTTTAGGTCCAGGGCAATGTAACAATTAGCCCAGGTTACCAGAGAAACACAGAAAGAGTAAGGGAGCTGAAATGGGAGGGCAATACAGATCAGAAAGTAATTAAAACTGATAATAGAAGAAATAATCTTTATTTTATTATGGTGGGGAAATTCAGATGTCACTGAAAAAGCAATAAAAACATATATACAAAACTATAAAATATGAAAAGCAACAAAAATAAATAAACTTTGCAGGTATTAAACAATGAATATTCAACAGTATGAAACATCGGCAAAATTAGCTTATTAAATTTTAAAACGATCTTTATTTCTCTTCTCATACTTTTAATATTTTACAGTTTTTATATCCTCCTAATCAATTAATAAACGTCAATGATTCATGTTACTTTGCATCCAGTTAAAACTGTACCTACTCAGAATCTCTCTACTAAATCTTTTTTTTTATTACCTGAAAGTGTACTTGCTTGTGAAAACCCATTAACCCATTGAAAGCCCCAAGATTAGTTATACCAGGGTAACAGGACTCATCTTCCACTTAGTAATATTCCCTGGGAATTCACCAGTGTTGTGTTTCTGTTATTTTGTAAGCATGAAAAAAAAAAAACAACCTGCAGTACATCTTGAGTCCAGCAGGCAGCAGTAATACGAATAACAGTCATAACAGTGTTTAGTCTTTAAAAGTGGCTATTATTATCATTTCTGTTTTTTCCCCCATTTTTTCCAGCTGACAAATAATAGTATATGACTAGCTTTAAAGTTATACAGTTAATTATTTCCTTCCATTTCTAACGTATATCGCTTGATATCAAATTTAAAATAATGATTTGACCTTTTTACATTTTAACCAACCTTCCTCTAGCTAGGCTTGAGTTGTTGTGTTGAATCTGCATATTAATTTACAGAAAAGGATTGACTAACACTCTTATTTTCTTTTATTTTAATGGTAAGTTAAATCTGTAATATCTACTGCACAATCATAAAATATTTTTTTTCAACATTACATATCGTAAAGAAAATGCACTTTTACAGTCAAAGTGCTCAGTTTGGTCATTAGTTGTGCAATAACAATTTTCTTTCTGAACTGCAGTGAAGCAGTTTAGAATTTATACCTACATTAACTAAGGATATCAAAATGTTCTGGAAAAAAATATTAAATGTAATAGTCTGCTATTGGCAGACTAATGCTTGAAGTGTTATATTTACTTAACCACTTGAAACAAAGGTATGGAACCCCTGAGAAGCTGGCGGGATGAGGCAGTTCTTAATGGGGATTCTCAGAGCTATACCAGGTAGGCTTACCTAGCAAAGCAGCCAGACTGAGCTGTCAACTGAGATTTACGCTCCATCGAAGTACAGTATGATTAAAAGTAGGATCATAATCTTGATAAACTGTCTACAAAATTGATTTATGTGTTCTTCGTTGCTTAAAAAGATCTTCAAATTAGTTTTTGTGACAGACCAACTGAATGGCCGACATAACAGCTGCAGTTAGAGGAGAGATCTAACTAATCAGCCTGACTAAGCAAGCAGCTAGATAGGCCTGCAGCACAGAGCTCTGATTTATAAGTAGGCTAATTCTTGATAAATTGACACAGAGGAAGAATGGAGATTTACTTTTTTGCTTAAAAACATCATAAAACTAAGGCCAAGGAATCTTTAATTATCTTACTGTACCCCACTTGAGGGAACAAAGCCCTGGCCAGCCAGCCTTACTTACATTATGTTCACAGCATATCAGTCTGGAAAGTAGTGAGTAGACGATGATTGCAAAGTCAGGACTAACAAAGTCAGTGAAATCTGTTCAGAAACAATCAAATAGTAACGGATGTTGTGCAATAATATCCTTTTTACAAAGCAACCAGTTGTTGAAAAGCAACAATATAGACAGCTCATTCAGACATTAGAATGGGCATTCATAAAAAAATTATCCATTCCAATTATAATCTCATAAATAGTGGTTCCAGAAAAACGCTGTTACATTATGGGCCCACCTCCCAAACTGTGATTGGGAGGTGAGCCAGAGTTAGACCAGAGTTTTGAGCTTACCAGACTGACTTACACCCCTTGTAAGTAAATCTGGCCAGGCCTCCGGTAAAGTGAAATTACCCAGCTAAATATGTATGGAAGGCCTACACTGGCTTTGAAAAGCCCCAGGCTTTTTGAAAGGTAAGGGAAAAGGAGCTCAATGTTGCCAAAAAAAAGTTTTTTTTTTCATTTATTATTATAACAACAGCTTGCATTTAACTCTAACTGTGAAGAACATACGTAACATGAAATATCTAAGTCTTTCTACAATACTGCTAGAAAACTTTAAGACCCTTCATTCTGTCCCTCTTTCCCTTATAAAACATTGTAAGTGATGGGAGAGAAAATCAGGTCCATGTTTTCAATGCTTAGCTGTGTTTCTTTACCAAACACAGTTGGAGTTTGCTGTAGTTCAGTTCCATGACATTAGAATTTATCTTTGTTTTTATATGATCACAATGATGCAATTAGCTGCATAATGCATAAACGCAGACGTCATGTGCAAATACCATCTCTTTGTTTATGCATCATGCAGCCTAATTGCATGAAGCACTTGTGCATGTTTTGTGTTAAGATTATTGCAGCAATGAAAGACTGACAGCTATGCTTAACTTGACAGTTTTTTCTCACAAGAGCTACAGTATATAACGTTTATCCAAAATTTATTTATTTATTTATTTTCAATTTTTTTTTACTTTTATGAACCTTTTCATCATTTTAATATCAAAGTTAAATTACATGAATTTCAAAATGCTTTCTTCAGAATTGCATTGACAAAGCTCCTATAATACACAATGCCATTGGGAACCTATAGTAGACATTATTTTGTATGATTTTGTGCAAGTAATGGCTGATTATACTATAGAGTGGATCAGCTTAAGAAAAAGCAGAACAAAACTTTGTAGTAAAGTGTACAAACAAAAAATATCACTAAAGGTGAATTAAATTAATAGAAGTTATACCCCATAGCAGTGCTGGGCAGCTTCCTTGCATTTT